TCATTTTCATAATATTATTTATTTCCAGAAACTGTTAAAACGCCATCAAACAAGTTGTTCCTGCACCCCACATCTAATGAAATGTGGTCGAATTTAAATTTATTCATTTATCTTATCTACTTATCTATGTATTAGGATTTGCAATTGTAAAATATATTATTTTATAAACATTAAAAAAAATTAATAAAACCGATAGGCCCTCAAGCAAAGAATTATGTCGGCAATACTTCATTGATGCACATGCTTTCTCTCTCTTCACTCTAAAAATACTAAAAAAATAAATTCAAAAAGAAAAAAAAAAGAGAGAGAGAAACGGAGTTTACTAGAGAGAGAAAGAGAGAGTAATTTTGACTTGTGAATCTAACACAACTACCATCTTTATTACATCTATATATATACGTACAAACCGCCCCCGCTCTCGGGTATTATCGTAATTTTTAAATCCCATTTCCTCACTCACACACAAACACACACACACGCAGAGCACAATCCTTTTTTTCTCTCTCTAGAACTGAAATTCACGAATCAAACCTTTTTGAATAACGACAAGATGAAATAAATTGAGGGGGTAATTAATTGTTGTTTTAGTGGAATTAATTGCTGATATTGCAGTAAGTAATTGAGCAATAGGTAACGGTAAATAATTAGTTTCAGTTTGCAGTATTGAAAGGGGGGTTTCTGTAACGTAAAATTTCAATTTCTGTTTTTTTTTTGGGGGAAAGAGTAGAGAATCAGGGTTTGCGATTTTGAAAGAGAGTTGGAGAAAAAAAAAGTGAAGTGTGAAGGAAGATGGGGTTGATATCGGGTATGGTGATGGGGATGGTGTTCGGGATCGCGTTGATGGCGGGTTGGAAGTACATGATGGGCCACCGGAGCAGGAAGCGTGTTGCTAAGGTTTTTTCGTTTTCATTTCTCACAGTATTCGATTTCTTCGTATTTTTACCAAAAATGTGGAGTTCAATTTTGCTTTGTTTTTGTTCGTCATCGTTTTTTTACTTGAGTTAGAAATTCGTGGTACGCGATTGATGAATTTTACTTGATGATAGTGTTGCAGATGGACAATTTTTTTGTCTGGAATTGTTGAATTTGATTTTTCTGTTTAGGTTGCTATTAAGGTGTCGGTGAATTTTTTTTTTGGAGTTTGGATTTCGTAGAAATACGTATCGTAATTGAATTATTTTTGGTTGTATTTGTGTGGACAGGCGGTTGACATTAAACTACTGAGCTCGCTGAGCAAGGAGGACATGAAAAAAATATGCGGTGAAAACTGTCCAGAGTGGATATCGTTTCCTGTTTTTGAGCAGGTCAGGTTATTTCTCTATAATTCTGCTAATTAGCTCGAAGGATTTATCATATGAACACGGATATTTCAGTTTTCATGTGCATCTGCATAGCGTTCTATTAGCGGGTCTAGAGATTGCCTTTAGTAGAGGAGGGTAGAAAAATAGGATTCTGTGACGAACTTGTTATTACGTGGGTTGAGAATTCGGCTATTTAGCTAATTTAGCGAAACTTGTAGATAATTTAACATCAACTTGTCGTTTAAGACATTGCATAATAGCTTTGCAAGTAGTTTCAATGGCTTCTGACACTGCTTCTCCTTTTGTGTCTCCCTAAAGTCATCTATATCACTCTCGATTAAATATTTACGTTTTACCGAGCCCTTCTTTCACCATATTTCTTTCAAGGACTTGAAAATCTATCCGTTGCCTTTTCCATAGAATCCTTGTACCTCAACATGAGTGCTAATCAAATATCCGAGAATATTTTGTCTCTTGTAATGACCTTTGAAAGAAAAATCGGGGTTCTCTTTATCTGATATTAAAATTGGAAAGTGTATCGTGTTATTGGCTTTCTCTTTGTATCGTGAGAGTTTTGGCCTTTTGGGATATATTCTTCTTTTTTGAATGCGTTCGTCAAGTTATAAAGAACGTCTAAAAAGATCTTCAGTGTCAGCTTTTATTTGTCATGTTCGTGAAGAAAGTTTACTCCTCTAAGATCCGTTTTTCCCCTTAATGAACAAAATGAAATTGATTATTGTCATTCATTTTTGTGTTGCTCTTCTTACTCTTTCAGGTGAAATGGCTGAATAAACAACTGAGCAAATTATGGCCATTTGTTGCAGATGTAAGCTTCTCTTCTTTTCGTAATTCCCTTGTTATTTCACAGCCCCTGACAATTTTCACTTCTTTTTTGGCAACTTGTGATGGTTCCAGTATTTTATGTTCTTGTGAAATATTTGAAGTAACATCCCTCAATGAAATTTGTTTATTTATTTATTTATTTGAAAGACATATTTTGAGACGTATCCACCGGGGAGTAACCAAGAGAGTTCATGTATACTGATGTAACAGACATGAAAAGGACAACTCTGAATGAAGCTGATTTGAGTTCGATTGGCACTTTCAATTTCTGGTGGTAGACACGTTGCGTTGTATAGGATATTAATGAAACAGTTTTATTGCATTTTGGGGATATCACGTGACATTCACTAACATACATGAACAATACAATATCCAATTCTTTCATCTGTGTTCGTTTTGAAGATTTTGTTAGTCACGTTTGCAGAGTTGTGATTTCCACATTTTCCCGATTAGGCTTCCGGTCTAGTATATTCATATCACTAAGTTTCTTGAGGTTTTCCTTTTTCAGGCAGCAGAGGCTGTCATTAAAGAATCTGTTGAACCACTGTTGGAAGAATATCGTCCTCCAGGGATTACTTCTCTGAAATTCAGCAAATTATCACTTGGAACCGTGGCTCCTAAAATTGAAGGTTGCAACACTATTGACAAATCAATATATATTAATTGGATTTTCATTTATATAAGTTGTCCTAGCAAGCATATGTAAGTTTCTAGAATGTTTATGGGATAAACAGTTGCAGATATTTGTTGTCCTCATATGTCGGTTTTTTTTGATGGTCTTCCCGACTAAGCAGGGAGTTATATGTGGTTAATTTGTTAGATATTTATATTATGCATCAGATTTTTCCTTATGGTTTACGTTATCATTAAATTCATGCAGGCATTCGCGTTCAGAGTCTTAAAGAAGGTCAAATCACAATGGATATTGACCTTCGTTGGGGTGGTGATCCAAGTATTATTCTAGCTGTTGAGGCCGCACTTGTTGCTTCTATACCCATTCAGGTTGCTACTATGTTTTTTCTTGTTATAATTTGTGTTTACTACTGTAGAATTTATCTTTTCTTGTTATCCTCGCCTCATATTGTATAGTGTAGATTGTGATGAAAAAAAATGTCGTCCTCTGTTTGTTGCAGTTGAAGGATCTTAAAGTTTTTACCGTGGTCCGTGCTATTTTTCAACTTTCGGACGAAATTCCTTGCATCTCTGCTGTAGTTGTTGCTCTTCTTGCCGAGGTACATTCTTGAGCATACCAATTAATTTGCTTATGTTGGATTAGATATAAATACGTATTGAGCTTTTTGAGTGGATGACGAGAAGTGAGAAGAGAAGAGGTGGTGCAATTGATGACACTATGAGAAAATTCTGGATATAACCCATTTAACCGTGTGTAGGAGTAATCGAATTTTTCCGGATGGAATTGTTTGCCATATTCTGTACTAGAGGTTTTCATGTCTAGAAGTTGTAGCCATTAAGAAGCATGTCTCGACTGTAGTGCACTTGAGAATTTGTCTTGCACACATTGAGAATCATTATTGAAAATATTCTCGTTTCCTAAAAGCTTTGGAAAAACTTTTAATGTATTTTTAATTTTTCGATCTCTGTAGTCGAATAAAGCGTAATCGTTTCTCCATTTTTTCCTTGTCATTCAGCCAAAGCCACGAATTGATTATACACTGAAGGCTGTCGGTGGTAGTTTAACGGCTCTTCCTGGGGTTTCTGATATGATCGATGTAAGTTTCGATTTTTCCTTCTTTTGCTCAAATGATTATCTTTATTATTTGGACTAAGAAGTTATTTTATCTACAAGGATACTGTCAATACTATTGTGACGGATATGCTACAATGGCCCCACAGGATTGTCGTTCCTATTGGTGGCATTCCTGTAGATACAAGGTGTGTAATTCATAATCTGCCTATTTTATTTACTATTTTAACGATCTGCCTATTTTTCATTGTTCTTCAAAATCCTCTCTTAGTCAGGTTATTGTGTTTGATACTTCAAACTCTAGGTTCCACATGCGGATTTTTAACTGTTTATTATTCTGAATATTATCAGTGACTTGGAGCTCAAGCCAGTGGGAAAGCTGGCAATAACCATCACACGGGCAAACGACCTCAAAAACATGGAATTGATTGGAAAATCTGACCCCTATGTTGTTTTACACATTCGTCCCCTGTTCAAAGTCAAAACAAAGGTTGTCGAAAACAACTTGAATCCCGTGTGGAATCAAACATTTGAGTTGATCGCTGAAGACAAGGAGACACAGTCGGTCATTTTCGAGGTTCTTTTTTTCTTAAATCTTTCTATTATTTTGCTTTTTTCTCTTCATTACTTGTGCAGTGTTTGTTCTCTGTTCTCTGTTCATTGTGTTTTTTTTTTTTTTCTTAGTAAGTGATTCTTAACTCTTAAGTGCTCTGTCGAAAATGGTCTGCAAAATCAGTGCTTTACAAATAATTGGTGAATTTTGCAACTACATTTACGTGTTTTAAGAAGTACTAACACTTGGACATCATTTTTACTAAAAACAGGTATTTGATCAAGACATTGGGCAGGACAAACGATTGGGCATTGCGAAGTTACCCCTAAGCGAGTTGGTAGCCGAAACATCAAAAGAAATCGAACTAAGGCTGCTCCCATCGCTCGATATGCTTAAAATCAAAGATAAAAAGGATCGAGGAACTCTAACAATTCAGGTAAATAAATACTTTACCGACTATAAATGTTTAACAAGTACAAGCGACGAAGATAAAAAACACGATATTAAATACTTCGAAAAAATCCGAAATGTGGATTTACTATATTCCAGGTGTTGTATCATGAATTCAACAAGGAAGAGCAAATGGCTGCACTCGAAGAAGAGAAGAGGATTTTGGAAGAGAGAAAGAAACTGAAAGAAGCAGGTGTAATAGGGAGCACTATGGATGCACTCGACGGTGCAGCCTCATTGGTCGGTTCCGGGGTGGGTATGGTGGGTGCTGGTATTGGTGCTGGAGCCGGGTTAGTGGGTTCGGGTTTGGGTGCTGGTGTTGGTATTGTCGGGTCGGGTTTTGGAGCGGTTGGTAGCGGGTTATCCAAAGCTGGAAAGTTCATGGGTAGGACCATCACTGGTCAATCCAGTGCTTCTAGGAAGAGTGGATCTGCCACTCCGGTGAACACTCAAGAAAATGGAGGTGCAAAGCCACTGTAAATGTGAACACATACACTCTCTCTCTCTCTCTCTCTCTCTCTCTCTCTCTCTCTCTCTCTCTCTCTCTCTGTTTTGTTTTGGTGTGAAATTTGAAGTGTTGGATGATGTGTGGTTATGGGAGTTGGATTCTTGAATTGACCCAACGTTTGTATGTTCTTTGTCATGTATTCTCTTGTGAATTTAAAGTTTCATTTTAAAATTCTTTTTTAAAATCTTTTTTTGTTTTTTTTTTGGGTATTAAAAATAATTTCTTTATGGTCATTTTTGTCCGATATTTTGAAGTGGGTATCTGAAGCAAGGGTAAAAGAGTAATTTGGAGCATTGTCTTGGACTCTTGGTCGATGACAGCACAGATTAACTGACCCGTGAAGAGGAATCCAAACGAATTTGCCACGGTAATTTTTATGCAAGTGAACAATTGTGTCCTTTTCATTTGTTGTTATTATGGGTTTTAAGGAAAATAAATAAAGTAATAATAAATAAACATTCTCCAGATTCTTGCAATATTTCTTTTAAAAAAATG